CAGATTTGTGTGAATACAAAGACAAACTTTTAGCAATTTGAACTGTTTGAGAAAAATTTTAGAAAGCCCGACTCCGGGCACAGAAACTGCAGTTCAGTAAGTTGGAGAGGTCAATGCTGGGAGGCCGCTCAGCAAATATGGATCTTCCTCCATCTCCCCGATTGTTGCAGATATTTATAGTGCTGAGAATTCACACTGAGCTTTACGTACATTCATATTAGTCCCCGCCCCCGAGGAGCGGTCTAAGGTCCCTATCTCACAGTCATACATATGAGGGCCAATTTAGAGAGGAGCCAATTAACCTCCCAGCATGTCTTTGGAGTGTGGGAGGAAGCCGAGTACCCGGAGGAAACCCACAGGGAGAGCATGCAAACTCCTTGCAGATAGTGACCTGACCAGGATTTGAACCAGGGACCCCCAGTGCTGCAAGGCAGAAGTGCTAACCAATACGCCACTGTGCCCACATCTCTTTGCTATACCTGCAGGTGGAAGACTAGGTTCCCCTGAACTTCTATGGCTGTGGTCATATCTTCACACCCCTCCCCCTCCCTCCTAGGGATATAACATGTTATACTGTTAAGGAAGATACTGCTGCCAAGTTACAGGGGACTTCTAGAGGCTGCTGTCAGAGGGACTGCTACAGGCTGCTCAAGTCAAGTTAACTAAGACTGTTAGAGACTCCTTCCAGGTCACAGGAAACTGTTAGAGGCTTTCATGACATGGTACAGGGCACTACTAGTGACTGTTGGGGACTGTGAATGTGGCCCGGCCTCTTACGGACGTTTTCTCTGTCTTTTAGGTTCAGATCTATGAGTTGGAGGAGCACAAGATCGAGACGTGGAGAGGTAAAAGCTCGCTCAGCACGCCGACGTTTCTCTGCCGCTGTTTGTGATTGGAGGAAATTCTCAGCTTTTGTGTTTCTCTTGCAGAAGTTTACCTGCAGAATTCCTTCAAGCCGCTGATCTCCATTCCTCCGTCCGGCAGGTAGGACTCTGGGGGTCCCCGTCACAGCCCCCTTCCGGGATTTCTATCTGACATTGGCAATTATTCTTTTTGTATTTTTTTGGATAGTGCGGGGTAGGGGTTTTCATTGTTTCGTGTCCCCATTGAGAAGAGTCTCCCTCCCTATGTGTACTGGTCTGAGATTTTGGGTACAGGGTCAGGAGAACCTAATACAGACTGGTGTCTAGTTTGGTGATTTCTGTACATTGTCTATTGATCAAAAGCGTCAAATACACCCAACGCGTTTCGGGGGAAAGCCCCTCCCCCTTCTCCAAGGCTTAAGTGTACAATTTGTATCTAAAACCGGAAACAAAATTCATGAAAAAGGTCTATTTTAGGGCTAAATTGATCTGCGGTATCAGCATCACCTCCGGGAGATGAGGCCGGCTCACCGCCGTCACCGAATCGTACGCTTAAGCCCTGAAGAAGGTGGAAGCTTTACACCACGAAACGAGTCAGTTGTATTTGATGCCTTTAGTTAACAAGTTATACTAATCGCCGAATTAGACGACTCCTAACCCTATACCCAAGACCGGATCATGTGACCTGCCCACCGAGATCGGAAAGGCAGCGGCCTAGGACCCCCAAGCAGGTCAGTGTACACCCTCTATAGAAATATAGATGATAATACTGAGGGGGGGTTTAAACATTCGCACAGCCATTCAACCTGCAAAAATGCATGCACATGCTTTCTGTGAAACTGGGTCAAAAATGTATGTCATCGCTATACTTTTGTTCCAGGCTGAATGTAATTATTGATGATTAGAGTGAATCAGGCCAGTGCCTCACTATGGCCACTAGATGGAGCTGTAGAGCATAGGAATAAATACATATTTCCTATTATCTTCAGCTCCATCTAGTGGCCATAGTGAGGTACTGGCCTGATTCACTCTAATCAATAATTACATACAGCCTGGAACAAAATAGCAAAAACATTCATTTTTGGATGATTGTCTTTACTCCTAGCCTAGCCCTATATCCAAGACCAGATCATGTGATCCGTCCTCCGAGATCGCAGAGGGGAAATAGATAAGCGGGTATAAAAACTACATCAAACAAAGCAGTAAATGTCCAGATACAGGCAGCTGAGGATGAGCTTGGCCCTGCCGCCGCCAGGGCTCACAGTTGGTCTGTAAAGCCACTCATCACATTCAAATAATGAACAAATGCACCCATGTTGGTAAAAAAAAAAATTTGCATTTGCTAATTTTTTTTGCAGAGGAGCCTGCAAAGCTTTGTAACTGCAATAAATGCTAAACATGTGCGATTCGTTTTGTTCCGAATCAAAAATAGTACGAATTTTCCGAAATTTGTACATTCGGACACATACGAACTTCCGAATCCCAATTCATCCGAATGCGTCCGAATCTGAATCTCCGTTTCATAGTTTCGGATCCCGGCCAAAACAAAACTGAATGGGACATGTGACTTTTCTGGCCAATCAGATGTGTTTTTCGGTTTAATGCCTCCGAATGGGTCTGAACACAAAGTTTCGTTACGGCAACATGGGAGCCATACACAGTATATACATATAATACTAAAGCTGAGGCTCCCAGACCCCAATGGCATTCAGGATCCGAATTTCCGAATTGCATTGGGGAGTTCCCGAATGCCGTTTGGGTCTGGGAGCCTCAGCTTTAGTAATATATGTATATGACTCCCAGACCCGAAACCCATTCGGGTCTGGGAGATTCAGCTTCAGTATTAATATCTGTATATGGTTTTCTGTGGTATTCGCAACGAATATTCGTAAACTCATCCGAAACTAACGTAAATTTGGATTTTGTTAGAATCCGAAACGAATTGAATTTCGGATCCGAATATCGAAATATCGGAACCGAACCGAATGTTTCAGCAGCTTACATATCTAATAACTGCAATGCCGGGTTCAATGCTCTGGCTCGTGCAGACTATTCCTCCAGCCGATGTCCATACAGAGGTACAGGCTATCAGTTATGGGGTATGACGTCGCCTCACATGTAGCCCACTGAAATCTACACGTTAGTGGATGTTCTGTCCTCGCCACCCTTCCCGTGTTTCCTGTTTGGCTCTCGCACTTCTCTGATTTCCTTTGCTTGTTGTTCGGAGTTTCTCCTCACGCCTTCTGTCTCTTCCAGCTTGTTCCACGCCGTCTACTCGCTGATCAAGAACAAGATCCACCGGCTTCCGGTCATGGAGCCCGTATCAGGAAACATCCTGCACATCCTCACACACAAGCGGCTGCTGAAATTCCTCCATATGTTTGTGAGTGAATGTTGAGGAAACGCGCTTGTTCCCCCCGATCATCGTGTCTGAGAGAGAAAGTGACATTTAGCGGTGTCAGGGCGTCCCGGTTGTAGGCGCATGTCACAGAATGAAACAACAGTTGTACATTTTCACCACCAGCTGTGATTTGGGATTTATTTTTTTGGCCAATTGGTTCGTTTTTGACATCTCGTTGCCCTTGGCTTTGACATCGCTGGCCACTTTATTAGGTACACCTGGCTAGTACCGGGTTGGGCCCCCTTTTGTCTTCAAAACTGCCTTAAAAGAGAACTATGGGGTAAGTGTTTTTCCCCAAAGTTCTCTCAAGGGTCACAGAAGGGCATCTACAGGCGTCCTCCCGTTACCCCAAAAAAAGGGTGTATCTCACTGCACTCCTTACCGGATCTCCTAGGAGATGATGTCTGTATTAGGGTGCTTGCAGCGACCACGGAGGCACCGTGTAACCATATAGAATTTCCAAAATGTCACCAGCACTCCAAAAGTAGATTCAACAAATTTTAATGACAACGGTCATTCAAAATCACAAGTACTTTCGGGGCCACGTAGGGTCCCCGTCATCAGGCTCAGAATCAAAAGGGTCATCAAGCTCATTCTGAGCCTGATGACGGGGACCCTACGTGGCCCCCGAAAGTACTTGTGATTTTGAATGACCGTTGTCATTAAAATTTGTTGAATCTACTTTTGGAGTGCTGGTGACATTTTGGAAACTCCCGTTACCCAAAGCTCAGTATATAGGGAGCTACAGCTCGCAATATACTGAGACTGCCGCAGCCGGGACGGATGCCGACAATGCTTTTGAGATCTGTGCCCAGCTGTGTGAGTGACAGCTGGCTCTGCCTATCTAGAGGCAGAGCCAGTTGTACCCGCCCCCTCCGCCGTCCGTTCCTCCAGTCAGAGCTGTAGTCATGAAGGGATGGACATGGTCAGCAACAATACTCAGGTAGGCTGTGACATTTAAATGATGCTCAATTGGTACTAAGGGGCCCAAAGTGTGCCAAGAAAATATCCCTCCCGCACCATTGCACCACCACCTCCATCAGCCTGGCCCATTGATACAAGGCACGCCTTCGTGTTGTTTACCCCAAATTATGACCCAACCATCCGAATGTTGCAGCTGAAATCGAGACTCATCAGACCAGGGAACGGTTTTCTAATCTTTTACTGTCCAATTTTGGTGAGCCCTTGCATACTGTGGCCTCCATGGGACCAGAAGCGACTCGTGCTGCATCACTTCCGGTCCCATAGCTGTCAGTGCTGGGCTCCTGCTATAAGCTATTGAAGTGCGATCTTCACTTCAATAGCTTATGTAGCGTGCAAAGGTGATACTAGGGGTCTTTCCGACCCCCAGCATCACCTTACAGAGTCCCCCCCCCCCCCCCCATGTGATAGTAATTAAAGTAAAGTAAAAAAAAAAGAAAAAAAATACAGTTTTAAGATTAATATTAAATACATTAAATGTAAAAATAATGTAAAAAACATTTGTTAAAGTCCCCCGCCCCGCGAGCACACGCGTTGTCGTGTAAACACGCGTCGGTGCGCTTATGTATAAAAACGACGATTGCGCTACACATGTTGGATATCGCCACGCACGCCGGAGTGAGAGCAATAATTCTCAGGCCAATATTTACGCGCATCTCTAAACTGATGACCTGTGGGGGCTTTAAATCGTCACGGACGCACACAATTTTTCACCTGGGCATGTTGGGTATCTATTTATTCGTTGTAACCTCATGTTTTATCTTTTATTTAAAAAATGGTTTTATAAAAGTGTTTTGGGGCACTAAACTCAACATAAGTGCATTTTTCACAAAATTTTGGGGTTTGATAATATGTTGCGCCAATGTCGTGCAACATAAAAATCTGCAACTGCCGACATTTTATTCTACAGTGTCTCGGCTTTCAGAAAATATATAATATTTGGGGGGGTTTTAAGTCATTTTCAGGCCCAAAATGTGGATTATATCATGTGAACAAAAAAAAAAGGCCTTTGTCCTTAAGGGGTTAGGCCCCATTCACACTGAGCGATTTGCAAATTTGCAAGCGATTTGCATTTTGCGCGATATCGCGCGTTTGCAGCGCGATATCGCGCAAATAGTTGCATTGAGCAGCCTAGAATCGCAGCAAAATCCGCTCCAAAAAGGGTCCTGCTGTAGCGACGCACGACCCGCGACAGCGACGGACCAAGCCCCATTGAGATGCATTGGAGAGCTATATCGCGCAGTAAATACCCGCGATATCGCGCGGATTACCGCACGATAAATCGCTCAGTGTAAATGGGGCCTTAGGTGGGAGTTTGTTTTGTAATGTGACGGTAATTCTGGGAGGCCATTGTGAAGTTTACTTACCTGGACCCTGGTCTTTCCACCAATGACAGGGGGGCACCATTCCGCGACCTCGCTTCCTGCAGAGAACCATCCTGGAGCTGGGCATCGGGACTTTCAAGGACGTCGCGGTTATTCATGAGGCATCCAGTATATACAGCGCTCTGGAGATCTTCGTAGAGAGAAGAGTGTCCGCCCTCCCCGTAGTGAACGAGGCAGGTGAGTGCAGATGCTTTCGGTCGCCGCCAGGGCTCACAGTTGGTCTGTAAAGCCACTCATCACATTCAAAGAGTAATTCCACCTTTTGCTAAAATTAATAAATGCTACCCAACAATGGACGAGATGCTGCGGGGAGAAGAACTCTGCAATATATTACATTTTTTCTGTGCGGATGGGGACAAAAACAAATATTATTAATGTACTTTGGATTGTAATTCTTTTGTAAAGTAAAGCAAGAAAATACTTCATTATGGCCACTAGAGGGAGCTGAGGAGCATGGGAAAGAAGCATTTATTTCCTATGATCCTCAGCGCCATCTAGTGGCCATAATGAGGTATTTTCCTGATTCACTCTAATCTTATGAATGAATTGTGTTCAACCTGGAAAGAAAATATACTAACAACATTCGTTTTTGCCCCATTCACACAGAATTAATCTACAATACGCAGGATACGCAGGATGAATGGCTGTGTAATTTTTAATTATTATTATTATACAAGATTTATATAGCGCCAACAGTTTGCGCAGCGCTTTAATAAATATTCCCCTTATTATTGCCCCATTATGAAGAGCTGCACGGCCCAATTCTAACTCATTCACCCCACTGAATCATTCATTGACACAGAATTGAGCTGTGTAGGGAACTCCCTATTAGTCCTACTCCACAGAAGCCTTTGTTTCATATCTGGCACTGATGAAGGTTGATAAGATGGGAACAACTGTCTTCACTTTGGATACCTGGCTCTATGCATGTGGCTGTGCAGCACCGTGTGATACAGTATATGAGAAATCTATCTGATTTTCCTTGTTTAGTGTAGTTCAGTCCCATGAAACAGGAAAATTTCTAAGGACTAACATTGTCCACCTTTTCCGGGACTGACCCCGGCTCTCAGCGGACATTTGGCTTTTACGAGCTGCAAATCCTCTTCCAGACCCGGCACACGAGTCACATCTGCTGATTATTGCAGCCAAATAAAACATATTAGAATGTATTACATTGTAGAGGATGCGGCCTGAGCACCCCCGGCAGACATTGTCCTCTAATCTGAGCTATACATAGAACAGCGGAGTCACTGAGACCAGGGGACGGATAAGATTCTTCCTCTCCGCAGTACAGGAATTCAGGGAGTGTTCAGGGACTTCTGAGAGCTGCTAAAAAGGAAACCGCTGGGCGCCTCTGAACGTCTTCAATGTGTCAATCAACAAAAACTCGACTGATACTTAACATGGGAAGATTTTATTGTCTGGGTGTGAATGATCTGAGAAGAAAGGTTCCGGTTGGCTCAATGATACGACAGGAAATTAAAGGGACCATTATCTCCAGCGATGACATTCTCAGCAGAAAAGAGGTCACATGACTGAATATATCGTAGTGGCAAAAAAAAAAAAAGGGCAGAAGGACTTCCACTCAGCCGATCCAATATCTGGTTCGACTGAGCCGAAGCTCCAGCAGCTCACTTGCTGCAGTTCGCCTCTATTCTCATAGGGGGGCCGAACGGCAGTGAGTGAATAGCCGAATGCTGCCGAGCGGCATTCGGCTCGGCTATTATGCTCGGTACTTCCGTGGTACCGAGCAGAATAGCAAATCAATGGAAATAGTTTTTAAAAAAAACTGTAAATAAATATTACATTTAAAAAAAAAAAAAAAAAAATTAGGCGGAGCTAGCAGTGACAGCTTGCTCCGCCTAACTGTTTATTATTGGCCGGCACATGCTTGAGTCTTCTAGCAGGTCCCAGGCCAATGAGTAACAACTGGGCGGAGCCGGCCATGACGTCACGGCCGGCCCTGCCCACTTGTTATTGTTTAATGACAGTTCAGCTCCCCCAGGTCATTTGGGGATGCTGATCTGTCATTACAACTGGGCGGAGCCAGCCGTGGGATCACGGCTGGCCCTGCCCAGCTGTTATTTGCGGGGCGAAAGGCCAGCCTCCGGCAGGCTGTTCGCCCCGCTTCGGCTGACACTTCGACTCGGTCGAGCCGAAGAAAATGCCTTCAGCTCGGCTGAGCTGCTCGGCTGCTGTACGGGCTATTGTGAATAGCCCGTACAGCAGCCCTGCGGTTCAACTGAACCGAAAGGGCTCCGGCGGCCGAAGAGAGCCGACGCTACGAATCATCAGCCTCTTGCAGTCCCTGTGCAGCAGAGCTCACAGTGGGGGAGAGAGAAGCAGCAGAAGGAACTAGTGAGTTGTGCTGCAGTACAAGGAGCATGCCGATAGGAGGAAAGAGCAGAGTGACAGGGAGAGAGCAGAGTGACAGAGAGATGAGTTCCTTGGTCTGCCGCTTCTCCTTTCACTGTCCAGTCACAGGCTGGGAGGTAGAACAAGACCTGTAAGTGTTACTGAACTGTAACAGGCAAAAATCAGGTCCCCTTCCCCGGCCAGCTTGGGCTCTGTGGCGTGGCAGAGCTGTGTACATGCGGATGGCCAGAAATACAAATCTGTTGGCATGTAAAACAGCTCCCATATATGTATTTTAATTGTGAATTTAGAGATTTGCCCGAAGCTCAGCTTCATGCAGCGTGTTGTCTAGCTCTTGCATAAATAGTAAAATAATGTTTTTTAGCTATCTCGTAGAAAAAGCCGGGACTTGCTGGGACTTGTAGTTCCCTGCCAGCTGCAGGGATGGGCAGCCTCTTCTTATGACCTGCACGGTAAAACATCTAAAACCTAACGGAAAGCTAAATGAAGACAGCAGCAGAACATAAGAAGGAGCCATTTGTCCCGTCTTCGTGGTAATCTTACTTAATACAAGGTCTTTAGTGCCGGGACGGTGACCCCGGTCCGAGTCCAAAGACCCTGTTTAGGGACCGGAGCAACGTCCATCTCTTCACCGCCCCCCCGGGGGACACAGCTGCTGCCCTGTGAACGTGGCATTTGTGGATATTAATAGCTCTGCCCGTCCATGGTCAATGACAAACGTGGTAACCAGGATGAGCACAGTGTTTTAAAGTCGCCTGCACGGCAAGGACACCGGACATTGTTCAAACACGGAAATCCTTTCTGTATCCATTTCGGGAAAACTTTAAACACGGCGGAGCAGCTCAGTGATAAATGTTCTGTATTTGACGTTTCCTGTTTCAGCTTTTGGATCTGGAGGACGATAGAAAAAAATAATGATGTGCAAACAGCAAGAGAAACCTTTTACTGTCACAGCATTGGGTACTTCTGCCGTGAGGATATGAAAGCTGAGGATGAATTGCTCCATAGCGCCTGCTCTGTGAGGGCTTGTTATGAAGCCCATTTACCACTGATTAAGCATATATGTAAATATTGGAATGTCCATAGCCTGTCCACATGTTCATTTTAAAGAGACCCTGTCACCAGCTTAAAAATATTGTTTAAAGAACTAGTATCAAGTATTTTAAATCCTGGGTGGCCCATCGATACTAAATTGTGGGATTATAGGGGAGGGTCAGATGTTCCTCAGTCTCTAAGTGGAGTGGTTGAAAGAGTGCTAAAAAGTACCAGGACACATTAGTGTGCCCACTGTACTACTGTTGCCTTTGGAAGGTGTGACTCAATATAAAAATGCTTTTAAGCAAAGCTCCAGGCAAAAGTTTTTTTCTTTCCTATTTTTGGGCAGAGTGGGGAAGGGTTTCTACTGCTACCTTTGTCTATGTTGTGGAGATTTTCCTTCATTTCCTGTCCCAGAGATAAAACAGGAAGTAAGGAAATCTTCCGGAAAATGGCAACAAAAAATCTAACCCTTCGCAGCGTTGGAGGCAGAGGGAGACTTTTAATGTGAGATCTTAACAGATCTGCTAGTAGAACATTGAGGGGCATTAGTCTTCGTCCTTTTATATTGTATATCTTCCCTGAGCCATTAAAAACCCGTTCCTGTGTTTTTAATCGCGTTTTTTCTTTTTTTGTGCTTTTCAGGGCAAGTTGTTGGGCTGTACTCCCGATTCGACGTCATAGTAAGTACATTACATGCAATAACCTGAAGTGCTTTGGTAAGATGGCCATGCAGCCTGGTGCTGAGGGCCACCATGGGCATTGGGGCAGGTAGCAGACGTCAATCTCAGACATGAGTAAACAAGGTGTGCATGGCAGGATCCAGAGTTTAGTAGTGACCAGCATATGGCAAAGTCTTGAAGGTTTATCATATCAACCATGAGAGGCTGGTCCTTGGAACCACTGAATCCCTTTACCCATCTTCATCCCTCAATACCGTGTTTCCCCGAAAATAAGACAATGTCTTATATATTTTTTGCCCCAAAAAACCACACTAAGTCTTATTATCAGGGGATGTCTTCATTTTTTTTTTAATGTGCAACAAAATGGTCAGTATCGGTAATGCTGATCCGTTTCTTTCACAGGCGGAGTGCATCTGGTATCACTCCGCCTGTCACAGTAACCGGCGCTATAGAGGAATTATCGACTAATGTGGCCGTGCTCCCTCCATTGCCGCAGCCTTGCTTTCTACAGCGCCGGCTTCCTTTGCCATCAGGGACAGTGGTACCAGCAGTGGGGACATCAAACAGTGGACAGCGTGCTAAAGTGCGGTACCATTTACCGGTACACATTACAGTACAGTACCATTACATTAAGCAGTGCCTTCAGGGGGACAGCAGTTGGTGAAGTATGGTAATGGAGAGTTCCCTGTCACTGCGCTGGCCAGAGGGAGTTCCCTGTCATCCCCTTAAAAGTAGAATTACGGGGCCAGGGCTTTTTCCCATAGTTCTCCTAAGGGTCACGGGAGAACACAAACTAGCGTCCACCCGTCACCCAAAGCTTAGTATATAGGGAGCTACAGCTCGCGGTATACTGAGACACCGCAGCCGAAACGGATCCCGACAACTATGTCTGGATCCACCCACCTGCGTGATTGACAACTGGCTCTGCCTATCCAGAAGCAGAGCCAGCTGTGCCCGCCCTTTTCCCCGTCCGTTCCTCCAGTCAGCGCAGGAGGATCGGGGAGGGGGGATCCTTGCAGGGAGCCGTGAGTGACAGTCACGGCTCTCTGCAGGGATAGATCGAGAAGTGAGCGACAGTATGTGTTCGCTCACTTCCCGATCTACTGATCCTCAGATTATGAGGAGGAGTGAAAATCACTCGCCTCACAATTCTCCTTTAATACAGTGTGTCCCTGTAGGCTGATACCATCTCTCCTGCTCTTCAAGTTCCCCGTCACATGCTACTACCAAACTAGGTCTTATTTTCGGGGTAGGTCTTATATTACAGGAATCTTGAAAAATATTGCTAGGTCTTATTTTCGGGGAAACACGGTAGTATCAGATGTGCTGAATATTATGATGATTACTAGGGATGCACAGATACTTTTCGAGTACCAGTGCAGATACTTGGCATTTTCATGAACTACCGGGGTTGCAGCGGTTGTAGCTGGGACCGGGCTCTGGCGCTCCACCACTGTCCTGAAATCATTAGTCTGTATTGTTTTAGAAAAACTGTCACATGACACTAAACAAAAATGTATCAGTACTCGTACTTGTAAGTACTCGGCAAGTACCAGTACTCGTACTCGCAAAACTGGTATCGGTGCATCCCTTTATTTATATTTATAAAAACAAAATCGTACATTAAATCAGAGATGTACAAATCCCGGGAGCTCCGTGTGCTCCTCACAAATGACAGCAGACTCCTAACTTCTGAATTTGTCTCTAGTCTAGTCTTGGAGCTCAAAAGTATCTGTTCATGTACTTGGTATCTGTGCAACCCTAATGATTACTGTATATACACAGAGGAGGTAGAGGCACTGTAGTGTACTGAGGAGGTAGAGTCCTGTATGTGAATCATCTTCCTGTCGAGAACAATCTTTTGACACAAAATAAGAAAAGATACATTTAAATGGACATTTTTTCTACCAGGACAGGATAGCCAAATACAAGCGACCGTTCATAGATGAAAGTGATTGTTTACTGAAATAGAATTGAAGATTTGATCCTTTCATGGAAATGATGAAGTATTTTTTATTAATAAACTGGATCAAGTCAGGAAATGTATCAAAGTCTGAAGAAAAGGGACGTGACATGACATTGCGTTAGTTTGATGAAATCTGCAGTGTGTTTATCTCTATGACAACGGTAGAGCTTTGCGGTCAGTTTCAACAGTATCAGCAAGCCTTAGATAGCGGTTTTATTTAGTTTGAGGTTTTTCTGGATTTATGATTTGATTTTCTATTTCAGCACTTGGCAGCACAAAAGATCTATAACAACCTGGACATCACAGTGGGGGAGGCGTTACGGCGACGCAGCTTGTGCCTGGAAGGTGTCCTGATGTGTTACCCCCACGAGACCCTGGAGACGGTGATAGACCGCATAGTAAAGGAGCAGGTACATCTGCCCTTGTTCCTCCTCTCACGTGTCACCACCAAACCCCTTACCACCGGGCCCTTGTTCCTTCTCCTCTCACGTGTCACCACCAAGCCCCTTACCACCGGGCCCTTGCTCCTTCTCCTCTCACGTGTCACCACCAAACCCTCACCACCAGACCCTTGTTCCTCCTCCTCTCACGTGTCACTACCAAACCATCACCACCGGGCCCATGTTCCTCCTCCTCTCACGTGTCACCACCAAACCCTCACCACCGGGCCCTTGTTCCTCCTCCTCTCACGTGTCACCACCAAACCATCACCACCGGGGCCCATGTTCCTCCTCCTCTCACGTGTCACCACCAAACCCTCACCACTAGGCCCTTGTTCCTCCTTCTCTCACGTGTCACCCCCAAACCCTCACCACTAGGCCCTTGTTCCTCCTTCTCTCACGTGTCACCCCCAAACCCTCACCACTAGGCCCTTGTTCCTCCTTCTCTCACGTGTCACCCCCAAACCCTCACCACTAGGCCCTTGTTCCTCCTTCTCTCACGTGTCACCCCCAAACCCTCACCACTAGGCCCTTGTTCCTCCTTCTCTCACGTGTCACCCCCAAACCCTCACCACTAGGCCCTTGTTCCTCCTTCTCTCACGTGTCACCCCCAAACCCTCACCACTAGGCCCTTGTTCCTCCTTCTCTCACGTGTCACCCCCAAACCCTCACCACTAGGCCCTTGTTCCTCCTTCTCTCACGTGTCACCCCCAAACCCTCACCACTAGGCCCTTGTTCCTCCTTCTCTCACGTGTCACCCCCAAACCCTCACCACTAGGCCCTTGTTCCTCCTTCTCTCACGTGTCACCCCCAAACCCTCACCACTAGGCCCTTGTTCCTCCTTCTCTCACGTGTCACCCCCAAACCCTCACCACTAGGCCCTTGTTCCTCCTCTCATATGTCACCACCAAACCCTCACCACCGGGTCCTTGTTCCTCCTCTCACGTGTCACCACCAAACCATCACCACCGGGCCCATGTTCCTCCTCCTCTCACGTGCCACCACCAAACCCTCACCACTAGGCCCTTGTTCCTCCTCTCATATGTCACCACCAAACCCTTACCACCGGACCCATGTTCCTCCTTCTCTCACGTGCCACCACCAAACCCTCACCACTAGGCCCTTGTTCCTCCTCTCATATGTCACCACCAAACCCTCACTACTGGGCCATTGTTCCTCCTCCTGTCACGTGTCATCACCAAACCCTTACCACCGGACCCATGTTTCTCCTCCTCTCACACGTCACCACCAAACCCTCACCACAGGGCCCTTGTTCCTCCTCCTCTTATGTGTCACCACCAAACCCTCACCACCGGGCCCTTGTTCCTCCTCTTCTCACGTGTCACCACCAAACCCTCACCACTGGGCCCTTGTTCCTCCTCCTCTCACGTGTCACCACCAAACCCTTACCACTGAGCCCTTGTTCCTTCTCCTCTCATATATCACCACCAAACCCTCACCACCAGACCCGTGTTCCTTCTTCTCTCACGTGTCACCACCAAACCCTCACCACTGGGCCCTTGTTCCTCCTCCTCTCACGTGTCACCACCGGGCCCTTGTTCCTCCTCCTCTTATGTGTCACCACCAAACCCTCACCACCGGGCCCTTGTTCCTCCTCCTCTCACGTGTCACCACCAATCCCTCACCACCGGGCCCTTGTTCCTTCTCCTCTCACGCGTCACCACCAAACCCTCACCACCAGACCCTTGTTCCTCCTCCTCTCACGTGTCACCACCAAACCCTCACCACCGGGCCCTTGTTCCTCCTCCTCTCACGTGTCACCACCAAACCCTCACCACCGGGCCCTTGTTCCTTCTCCTCTCGCGTGTCACCACTAGACCCTTGCTCTTCCTCCTTTTGATGTGTTTCTCCCCACCTGGAGTTTATTCGCAGAGATCTTTATGGTTAGCTCCTGACGGGGTGAAGCAGTCAGAGAAGGCAGAGCAAGGGTCTGGTGGTATTTTAGGATTCTTCATATGTACCCATTTATGTTCCATGTGCAAGGTGCGTGGTGGAGCTGACAGTAGCTGTTTAGTATCCACAGAACTTGGCTGAATGTTGTATCAAGTTGGGTGAGTTCAACCACTGTGGTCCATTTTGTGCATCATTTTAACTCCTGCGTTTCCTTACACGTTAGGTTCATCGGTTTGTGCTGGTGGATGAAGAGCACCGGCCCCGCGGGATTGTGTCACTGTCGGACATCCTTCAGGCCCTGGTTTTAACCCCAGCAGGTATTGATGCCCTTAATTCCTAACCCTGGGAAGGCTCTTTTCTACCATTCACCCTGCACCTCCTCCTCCTCTCTAAGGCTCAGGTATGCAGGAGAACAGTGTGAGAATTGTCTGCACAGCTGAAACCTGCACTTTGTACCCTCTTCTGTCACCTCGGAGGGGTTTTTGTGCCTTGCCTGAGTTTTCGCTTTCCTCTGCTGCACTCTGAAGTGCGCTGAGTTCACCTGCTCCCTTACCACACACACACACACACACACACACACACACACACGCACACGCACACGCAACGGTCTTGTTATACTTCTATGTCTATTGTAAACTTCATCTTACAATTAGACATTGGGCAGAATGTGTGAGTAATGCATGCCCTGTATTGTCTCCCTTTAAAGAAGTATACAACGTTCTGTTTTTTTTGTATAGTACATGTCCAGGGCTCCACTAAGACCAAACGTAACCTGGGCAAGGGTAGCAGACATGTTTGTGCCCTCTACCAGCTCAACATTGTGAAGTCAGCACATTTTTCAGTAGGACAGGTGGTACCCCCTGTCACCTCTGATAAATGATTGGCCAAGAGAAGGCTTTGACTGCAGGACTGATAGATACTGAACACCACATGGAAGCTCAAACCAGCCCCCTGATGCTCTGCTATGGTAAAATGAAGAGAGCTTCAGGCTCTGATGTATGGTTGAGTTAGATTTGTATTCATCACCAGAAAATAGAAACTTATCCAACTAGGGATGCACCGATACCGATACTAGTATCTGTGCCGATACCGAGTATTTGGGCAAGTATTTGGGCGAGTACTCGTACTTGCCCAAATGCTCCGATACCTTTCCCGATACTGGAACTTCCGGTCAGAGGGAAATTTCCTCTGATCGGCAGTCCCGCGAAGGAACATGGAGCCGGGAAGCTGGCTCGATGCTGTTTGGCCGGCTCCATGCTGTTTGGCCGGGCAGCTGGCTTCCCAGCCAATCAGTATCGAGCCGGGCAAACAAATCTGATAATGACGACCCGACCCGCACCCTGCAGACAAATCATTCCCCTCACATAGATCCTCAGCAGCAGTCATTACCGTAACAGTCCATCGGCCAGCTGGGCAGACACAGCTCTCCAAGCTCTCCCGGATCTGCCCACGTCTCCGGTGGGCACAGCGCTCACGTGATCGGCCCCCAGCCTGCTACTGTACATGCGCAGAATTTCTGCATGTGCATGCGCAGCAGCAGGCTGAGGGCCGATCACGTGGGCGCTGTGCACACAGGAGACATGGGCTGATCCGGGAGAGCTTGGAGAGAGGTGTCTGCCCAGCTGGCCGATGGACTGGTACGGCTTCCCGGCCAATCAGCATCGAGCCGGCCAAACAGAATAGAGTCGGCTTTCCCGGGCAATCAAGAAGCCGGTCGGTGGGTAATAGATGAAAGTAGTCCCTCGCACTCCATGATATTAAAGTCAATGCTGTTTATTGACTGAGATAACACACATCTCCTTAGCGACACTTCGAGACCATGCGGCTCCGTCCTCAGGCAAACGACTCTCTATTTGCCTGAGGACGGAGCCGCATGGTCTCGAAACGTCGCTGAGGAGATGTGTGTTATCTCAGTCAATAAACAGCATTGACTTTAATATCATAGAGTGCGAGTGACTACTTTAATCTATCTACATTTCACGGAGGCATCCGTTGTCACCACCGCACCCACCCAGTTGGATTTGGGTTTTTGACCGGTCAGGAGTGCGATGGGACAGGAGGGTTAAGTTTCAGGGCGCCTGGCTTCCTCATTGGCGAGTAGCGAAATATAAATATTGGTACTCGATACCGAAAAAAACGGTATTGGCGCATCCCTGCATCCAACACGTTTTGGGGTTTAAAGTCCTCCTTTTTCAGGGGTTTCTTAAGAGCTGCCAAATGGACAAAAAAAGTGGAAACCCTGAGGATTGACTTGTAAGCTTGTAATGATAAGGCTTGTCCAGGTGACGGGTGTAGCAGCCGAGATATGAGCCCTATAGTTACAAATGTGCAATCCAATGTCTATTCTTACAAGAGGAAGGGGAACCTCCTAAACCCCCAAAACTCATTGGCCACGCCTCCTTATCCTTGTAATGACTACAATACAACACAGGCAAGTATTGCCAATCATTGATGAATTTATCATTATTGATAAAATTGCTACTTTCAGGTTAGTTTTAGAAACAGTTGAATAAACTTTGGAAACATTGTTATCTTTCCCCGCACTGCATGCAACGTGTACTGTTCGTCCGCCGCGTCAACCCCGCATCCTTCAGTGATGGCGCCATCTCCTTGTGTCACACTGAAATGTCTTTCTGCTTTCTGGAATTACTCCCCCCCCGGCTTCTGACAGTCTTTTCTGTGAGTGAGTTTTTATAAGGAATGTTTAGTCGCTTTGTACTTATTTTCTGTCTTTATTATTATGGTCAGGACTGAAAACAAATTAAACCTTTTTTTTTTTTAGTCAGAAATACAATGTAATCTTTTATTTCTCCACCAGGTGGAGCTCTGGTCTTCTTTTTACATTATTAGAATGATTACTTTTCATCTGTGCTGAATGAAGCTCTGATGTGCACAGAACTCAATGAGTCATCATAGCAGTGACTCCTCCCCTAACCGGGGCCTAATCTGAGAATTCAATCAGACAAAGGGAGCTGAAAAGAAAGCTGCTCTGTTGTGCTGCCACTTTTGTTTACACATAGTGAAATGGGAACCTTTTATTGACATATTGTCTTGTTTATTGGCTAAACAAAGATTGTACATAAAGAGCTTAAAAGTATAATATAGAAAGCAAGTAATAAAGAAATAAAAGTATATACATACATTATGTATATTTAGATTTATACATATTAGGGATGCACTGATACCAGTTTTACGGTATCGAGTACAAGTACCGATATTTATCTTTATCTTTCAGGACTCGCGGATACTGAGTACCGATACTGGTGTCATTACCCGCCGCCCAGCTTCTTGATTGCCCGGGAAGACAGCACCATGCGGTTATGCCGACTTGATGCTGATGGGCCGGGAAGCCAGCTTCCTGGCCAATCAGGAAGCAGGTAGCTGGGTCATTACCCGACACCCAGCTTCCTGATTGGCTGGGAAGCCGGCTCCATGCTTTTTGGCTGGCTCCAGGCTGATTGGCTGGGAAGCGGGCTCCATGTTCCCTCGTGGCACTGGAGATTTCCTCTGACCGGAAGTTCCAGTATCGGGGAAGGTATCAGAGCATTTAGATGGGTACTCACCCAAATACTCGGTATCACCACCCATACCGATACTTGTATCAGTATTGGTATCGGTGCATCCTTAATACATATAATATATACATATATAAAATAATAACAGTCCAAAAACATGTAAACTTTAAATGAATACATTCTTGGCATACCACAATGTACACTATCAGTTTTCCATAAAAAGCTTTCCTGGAGCTCCAGTCCAGTTATTTTGCCTAGGCTGAGATTATGTCATCAATCTGCTGCAGGCAGGAGGAAGCATTTCCTCAGTTTCCCCTCCCCCAGTCATCAGTCTGCTGCAGGCAGGAGGAAGCATTTCCTCAGTTTCCCCTCCCCCAGTGATCAGTCTGCTGCAGGCAGGAGTAGACATTTCCTCAGTCTCCCCTTCCCCAGTGATCAGTCTGCTGCAGGCAGGAGGAAGCATATCCTCAGTCTCCCCTCTCCCAGTGATCAGTCTGCTGCAGGCAGGAGGAAGGATGTCCTCAGTCTCCCCTTCCCCAGTGATCAGTCTGCTGCAGGCAGGAGGAAACATATCCTCAGTCTCCCCTCTCCTAGTGATCAGTCTGCTGCAGGCAGGAGGAAGCATTTCCTCAGACTCCCCTTCCCCAGTGATCAGTCTGCTGCAGGCAGGAGGAAGCATTTCCTCAGTCTCCCCTCCCCCTATGATCAGACTGCAACATTGTAACTTTATAGCAAGTCACAAAGTAGAAGCTGCAGCAGGAGCTGATTTGTGTCAGACATGTGTGATCGCAGCCAATAATTGTTTATTCTCTGAGCCGGCAAATGGTGACCCTGGCTGATGGCTGAACATAGGTGGTGCCACCCCCCTGGAGAAGAAAGCAGAGGAAGGCATTGTCAGGGGGAGTACTGTGATCATAGAGGTAATAAATACCAGGAAGTGTTACAATGACGCATTAGTACGCATGCACCCAACATGATATATATATGATCTGAGGTCCACTATAAAATATAGACATCTGAAATCAAATCGACCCAAAACGATGATAAACTCCCTTCATGAAGCCGTGCGTCACGCTTTCTCTTTTTGATCTTTTCCAGGTATAGACCGCAATACTTTGTGACCGAGTCGCCGGAGCTGCTATCGGACTTTTCTCCCCTCCTGGGCTTTCTACGGCTTAGGGAAAATGCGCAATCACGCGCAGCGGCCGGGGTGATGGATTCACAATTCCTAAACACTTGGGAGGACTTTCACACTTCAGGTCGATGGTCTGCGGACTCCTCCATAGTTACGGAGATCTCGGTTATTACCGCGAGCTTCTCAAACACCGTCCAGCCAATCAGTGACTGCGAAGTGAGCTTTGTACAGGAGACGGTAATAAGCGCTGTGGACATTGAGAAGTGAACATTGCATTGACTTCAATCTAGGGATTGTGGAGAGGAGTCCCTACCTCTGTCCTATGGATGATGTCACCGGAGTGAGGGCGGGACTGGTCACTGTGAGATATCTCTTGGTGGGCGTTTGTCCGCAGATACAGTATATTTTGTTTACATTGGAAGTACTTAAATGTCTCATTGACTTTTTGTTTTAAGGAATTTCTATTTTAGAGGGTTTTCCATTTTCCGATAACTGATAAAAAAAAGTGACTTATGCTCAGTGGCGTCACAAGAGGGGTGCGGGGGGTGCGGCACGCACACGGGTGACACCATTGGAGGGGTGACACCAAAGTCACTGACAGTCATTTTGGAGTCAGCCCCTCTAAAAAGTCAGGCACTCGGTCATCAGTGTCTGGAGAGAGGAGGGGACCCGGCGGCATACCTCATCTCTTTGGGTAAACGTCCCCTCCTCTCTCTGCCAGCGTCCATCACCAAAATGGCCGTCGGCAGGCGTCAATTAGATGACCGCGCATGCGCGATGACGTCACTGCGGGGCGTCACCCGGCCTCTGGACACCCCTGCTTATGCTGATCACTGTTTAGCTTAACAAAGTGTAGCAAATATAAAGAAGAACACAGAGCTCACCCTTAAAAGAGAACTATGGGGGTAACCTTTTTCTCCATAGTTCTCTTCGGGGTCACGGGAGGACATATACTAACCTCCTCCCGTGACCCAAAGCTCAGTATATAGCGGACTATTGATTGCCATATACTGAGAGCGCCGCACCCGGGACGGATCCCGACAATACAGATCCACCCAGCTGCGTGAGTGACAGCTGGCTCTGCCTATCTAGACAGTCACGGCTCTCTGCAGGGAGATGTTTGAGAAGTGAGCGAGCGCCGGTATGCGTTCGCTCACGTCCCGATCCATAGAGCCGACCTGTGACAGTTTCATTGTCACACGTCGGCTCTAACTATGGGGATGAGTGTAAATCACTCGCCTCATAGTTCTCCTTTTAATAAATGTCCCGCCTTCCTCAGGCCCCTTCAACGGGCTGATCCCCTCCTGATCGGAGCGGTACCGATCGGTTGTCACCGCTGTGACATTCGTGTCCATCCAGTTTTTCTCCTCCATCTTGCCATGGAGGAAAAGAAAATGAAATAACCGGCGCCCATGTTGGTCTGTTGGGGGGAATGGAATGTAAACAGACGTGTGTCTGAAACGGACATGTGCACCATCGGGCCTTTTGAAATGGAACACTGTTCCGTTAGTATCTCCGGACCCGGCCGGAGGCGGAGCTAACTGGGTGTAAACGGGCGCCTATTCATTTAGACCCGGCTGCCCATAAGCTAGCATTGGGCATCCAATGGGGTCCGCCTGAAAAACTGATTGGCGGACATGATCTGGCCGCCCGTGTGAAAGGGGCCTTGCTCTGTGTATGGAAAAAAAAACTCCTTCCAGGGTGAAGTGCAATAGAAATCAAACACTTTGAGAAAAAAAAAAACCCCCTCAGATTATTCTTTATTGAAACTACAAACCCCATCATGCATCTGCCTCTAGGAGTCATGCCTGTGGCTGTCGGAGTCTTGCAATGCCTCATGGGATTTGTAGTCATACCGCAGCTGGAGGGCCGAAATTTGCCTACCCCCGGCCCCTCTAGAAACTGTAGGGAGCTACATACAAATCAATGCAATTATCTGAAGGTGGAAAACCCATTAGAAATGTTCTGGTGTTGTAGAGAATATATAGAATCTTCATAGATCCGGAGCCGCCTCGTAGTGCGTCTGTCAGTACAAAGGACGCATTGTAGGAGTTCAGTCTTCCATTCTATGGATGTCTATAGGCAGCCGCAGTGCTGAAATGACCGTTCTCTATGTCTAGAATTATGTGTGTATTGATCAATGCACTGATACCATCATCTCATACCCCCATCTCATACCCCCATCTCATACCCCCATCTCCTACCCCCATCTGCTACCCCCATCTGCTACCCCCATC